TCCTACGATTAGTTTCGTCAAAATTTTACTATAGATTTATTATAGTTTTGGCAGAGTTTTGGCAGTTTTGGCATTTATAATAAGTTTTGGCAGTTTCGCTTTTCTCTAAAGTTTCACCAGTTTTTTAATATAACTTTAATATAGTTTCGGCAGAATTTCGCTTTTCGGTGAAATGCCATCTTGCCTAAACCCCTAAGTTTCAGCAAGCAATCTTAGTGAATGAAGAATAAAAGAAAAATCAAATATGACATTAGTAAAAATCCTCTCTTTTTGAATTTTCTTTTAAGTATCAAGGAAAATTTTGAGAACTACTTAAATCAATTATTAGAAAAATAGATAAAAAAACTGATAATAAACTTTTTTGATATTATATTAAAAAGTAAAAGATAGGAACTATATGTATTTTTAGTTTATTTTGCAATTAATAAGTTATACTAAAACTGACTTTTATATTTACATAATCACATCAAATTGATGTTATTATTCTTGACAAATGATTATATTTCTCCTAACCATAGAGTTAAAAGTTATAATTACTACTACTTTTATATTACTCATTATGAACATTACTGTATATCTGAATATCACCTACTACTAAGATATGTTATCAGTAGAAATTTTACTTTCATATAAAACCTTATCTTAGGATTTGCTTTGGTTAATTAACTAACAAGGAAAAAAATCATAACAATGTAACATAAAATTTCCTTTTATAGGGAACCGTTAAAGCAGGGTAGAATCACGTGACTTTCGAAATTTTTCTTTTTTTTAAATAAAACTCTTTATTATATATAAAACCTTTTAAATAAATATATATTAAGTGCATTTTGACCTGTTCTGCAAGTTTACTTAGAGCACAAAATGAGGTTTAGAACACCGTTTTCGATTTATTCAACTTTTTCAATTTCGTTAAAATTGATCTATCCTTTTTTGGGTATGATCAGCAAAATTCGTTTGCTTATATGTAAAGTCAAAAACATTGTTCAAAATCCACTTTTTCTCACTAAGTAAACTTGTGAAGCAGGCCGAAATACACTTATTTAATGATTTTCAATTTCACTTTAATTTTAGTTTATAAAAAATTTATCAAATCGTAATAATTTTAAATCACGTGATTCTACTCCACTTTAACGGGCTCTTTTTATAGTAGGATCTTTAAAGAGTTTTATATATAAACCTTACCTTAATAAGCTATAGGGTAACTTATCTTAATAGTAGGCAGAATCCTTAAATGGCTGACTACAGAATCCGCTTACTTATAAGATAGGTCACCCCCAGGCCTAAGGTAAAAATCATATATAAAATTCTTTGCAAATCTTACTATAAAAAGAAATTTTATGTTACATTGTTATAATTTTTTTTCTTTTTAGCTAATTAACCAATAGAATTAAGAAAAAAGTAAGGTAAAAACTATTAGTAAAGGGCCAATTTTCTACAGTGACCTTTATTATAAGTAAGCGGGGTCCTCTGACTACCTATTTCAAAAGAGTAATTTGGAAATAGTATTTACAAATTCAAGTTGGGTCTGATGTATAAAGGAGTTTAAGAATAACCCTTCAGTAAAGGAATTCATGGTGGAAAAGTATATCTTGCTAGTATTTAAATTTTAAGTTTAATAATTACAAATTTTTTACCAGTATAGAAGAAATCAATTTTTTTTATGAATGATGGACAATGTACATTTTATTTACCATGTCTTTGGAACCAAAAATCAACAAAATAAAGAGCAAAACAGTTAAGAAAAATACATTGTATATTGCTCCAATTCAAATTGCCTTTAGTAAAGAAATGCATTTAAATTCTGAAGCATCTTTTTCTCTGAGATTTGGCCAGAATTAAAATCAAAGATATCAGGTGACTTGAAAGTGAAAGTAATATTCATTTGGATTACGTATGAAAGTGATGTAGATTATTTTGTTGAAGCTAACAAGAATATATTAAAGGGAAGGACAATTGAAATTAATCCACAATACACATCAATAGTTATAGCATTTAAGTGTATTAACATTAAGCTTGAGAATATTCTATCATATTAGTAGTTTCATCAAAGTAATACAGTCTGACCTCAATATAACAAATTCACAATATAATGAACTCTTGACTTACCAAACTTTTTTTTAAAAACCAGGTTCATATTATTTAAAAAAATCTCGTTATACCGAATTTCATATAAACTTGATATAATATATACTGAACTTTTATGATTTACCGTTTATAATAAAGCATATAAAAAAATTCTTTATTAACCGAACTTGATCACGTGGTTTAAATTTCACATAATTTATACTGTTAAATCTTAATTTCTGGCCAAAATTAATATTCTTTAATCACGTGATAACTTTATATACCGAACTGCTACTGTAAAACTTATGGAGTTTGGTACATAAAAAAAATTTACATACCAAACTTCTACTATATACCGAACTTTTGTGCAAGTTCATTATATCGAGGTTTGACTGTATACAGGAAATGTTGCTTGGTTAGTAAATAATAATGCTTGACAAAAGAAAGAAAAATTAATATGAGACAGAGACCCGGGAAAATTCCATTTTTATAATAAATGAATAAATCAGAATTTTTGCTGTATTATGGAATAAAACGGAATTTTTATGATTTTTAACAATTTTATTCCGGCACGTGACAACTAGCCAATCATTATTGCATATTTTATTGACTATATCGTGATAGAAGTCTAACTAAAAAATGTGATTTTGCAATTTTGTAATATCTATACAGTTTTTGACTAAAAATTATTGTCGTGTCACTAGCGCAACCTAAGTTGGCCTGCATTAAGATGTAGGCCGGCTAGAATTATCAAATGTTTCTTACTATAATTGGTAATTTTTTATCGGAATAAAATCGGAATTTTTTTCGTTATCGTGATAAAAATTTGCGATTTAATATCGGAATAAATCCGGGTCTCTGATATGAGAGGCTGGTAACTTTGTGTAATATAAAAAAATTATACTGATTATTTATGCATATATAATACCATATCATTAAATAATAAAAACAGTTTATTGAGTTTGCATTGCAAATATTTTATTAATGCATTATCAACAAGTCTCTAAATTAGATAGAATATATGACATGCTTTTAAGGGAGAGAGTACACGAATCCTAGACCATTCCCTGCATCATATTATTTCTTTGATCTCTCACATTTCCGAAATTTCTACAGCTAATTTGTTTCTATCACTAATATTGCTAACTACAAGTTTCAATCGAACACTATCAGTCATATTTCATCATATGTGTAACCGTGAAGAATCTTCATTTGCCAAGAAAAAAAATTTATTAATACATGCGAAAAAATAAATACAAGATCGGGACTTAACCCATGATACATAACGTCTATGCTAATGACCTATTTCTGAAATACTAATTCAAGACACATCTATCTATTTTTACCCACCCAATTATGATTTTTGCTGATCAAAAACTCACTTGATTTGCAAATAATTTCTTGATAGGTCCAACTAGATCATCGCGGGGTAGTTGATATGTAGAGGTGAAGGCGTAGGCGAACACAACCTGAACCACTCTTCCCGATGAAGTTCAAAAATTGCTTTGTCATTAAGTTTCGAATTAGTTAACATTTGACATTTTAATAAAAAAAATAGCGAGAGTGTAGAATTAGTGAAGAATAAATTGTCCTTTTTTGTGAATTGTCCGTGAATTATATTGATGTATAAAAATTGGAAATAAATAAAGGGTATATTTATGCTTATAAGATGGTGGCTTGTTGATAATAATAATAATAATAATAATTTATCAGTAATTATTGTCGCCATCTCTTGAATTATGGTCTATTTTTAGACTAACAAGTAATATTCAAATTTATTTATATTTTTACAGTTTAATTAAAATGGAATCCAAGTTACGCAATAACATTTTATTGTTTTCTAAAATATTCCCAAAATACTCCTTGATTATAAGGGGATTGATCATTTTCAGATGGCGCAATCCTTCCATATCAGTTTAAGTAAATCATCATACACTATTTATCGCTGACAATTAAGTTGTCTCAATATATTTGCGAGATTTTGAATTCTTATCATACTCTTGATAAGGAAATCGCTGTCCAAATTGATTTGTGACTTTAAAAAAAAATATATGGGAAAAACAAAATTTTTTTTCATGTGAAAAATTCAAGAATTTTAACAACCCTTCAATGTTGGAGAACCTATTGTCCGGATACGCTAAAAATTTGTGAAACGGATAATCCTTATGAATAATTCGGTTAATAATTATCCGAAAAACGTCCGAAGGACTTGTGATACCGAAACTTCCAAGTTCCATCGTAAAATTAGTTTGTTACGAAAAAATTGATAATTAATTGTACTTGATTGTTGTTACATTTTGAAGACATTGTTATACTTATTTTTAAATAACATTATTGTCTTCTTTTTATTTTACCGATTTTGGAATTGAATTGGATTATACAAATTCTACAAATTCAAATCATCTTGCAATCAAACACTGTTAAAAAGTATAACTTACTATTATTATTCATTAATCTAATAGTAAATATTTATTATTTATTTATAACTTTAATTTAAAGGTAATACTTTTCATATTTTGGCCGGAGTCGATACCTCCTTAAGTTAGTTTAAGTCACGCTAGATGAAACAATTTTTTAACTTTTTTTATCATTTTTGAATCACTAAAGCTGAAACTCAATCATCCTATTTGAAACGATCCCTAAATGTCCAAACTTAACTAGGTTAGGTCGTTAGGGCATTAACTTATTAAATTGCGAGTTGTGATTGATTATGTTTCAAATTAGAATCGATGGTATATAATTTTTGACAAGGAACGTTACTAACCAATAAAATTAATTGCTAAAGAAGCCCTTATATAGTAAATAATCTATTCCGTAAAGAATTTTTTACAATTTTGTACTTTGTACAAAAAAAAACGCGGCTTGAGTTAATGAAATATTTAAAGACACGGGAATTAAAGGGATTAAGAATGCGTTTAGATATATTTTTTTTTTTTCAAACAAAAAAAATCTTTTTCCATAATAAAAACTCTCCATTTTTTTTTATTAAATAAGAAATATAGAAGATGGCAGAATCTCAAAACATAGGATCTCTCATAAATATTGCCAGAATTTTGTTATTCGCGTTTAGCTTGGTGTGTTTTACTATAGGTATAATATTTAAAAAAAAAATTATGTTCTTTTGTTAAAAAGAATTTAATTTGTATATAACCTATATCCATTTTTTTATTAGACACGAACAAAATTTCAACAGTAAATTCAATAGAATCGCCTTTTGGGTCTATTCCGATCCCTAAAGGTTCTTCTTCGGGTTTTGGGTAATTTAAATTTTTTTTTTTTTGTTTAATTGATTTCAGACATTACTTTAATTCTTTTTTCCTTTTCGTTCTTTAGGCCCAAGATCGATTCAAAATTGGATGGCTTTAAAAGGTAATTTAAAATTAAGTATTATTTTTTAAACCCTTAGTTTACATAAAATTTAATTCCTTAATTTCTTTTTTGTTCTTTAGTGTCCTCGCATTTTCTGTGTTTAACGATCTTGTTTCCTTTCTTATTAGCGGTAAGAATAATATGAGTTTATTATTATTTTACATAATAATATTAATAATAAATCTATAATTTATTATAATTTAGCATACTATGTTGTTATGATTGAAAAAAAAAGGAATCAGGAACCTAATAATTACTAGGAAACGGTAACCGTTGGTGCGTCCGAAGCATCATAAATTACATGTTCATAAATTTAAACTGAACACTAAAAATATAACACTAAAAATGCTAAAAAAAGTAATAGTATCACTAAAAAATGTCATTTTATTATCATACTTTAATACTTTGTACCTGTCTCTTATACACATCTAGATGTGTATAAGAAAAAACGATAGTGCCGTTCTTAAACGGATCGGCAATTAAAAATACTTATTTTAACATACTTTATTATTATTTACAGCTGGCTTGCAATTTCAATACAGCACTTTAATAATAACTTCTGTTTATAGTATTTTAATTGTAATTTTATATTCTGGTCTTGGTGCAGTATTCTATAATCAAAAAAGATACACATCTAGATGTGTATAAGAGACAGATATTATTATATTTAAATATCAACAAATGGCTTATAGTAACAATCAACCAACTTTAAATTACTAAAAAAAACCATTTATTAATTATTTAATTGTCAATTCATTTAATATTGGCACAATTTTTACTTTTTTAGCATTATATGTGCGAGGTGAAATTTAACGAAAATTGCATAGTTGGCAATAAATTCACAAATACTAAAACTGCGATAACTCAATATTTTTAATAAAAATCATATAATATATGTAAAAAAACCCAAGGAAAAATAATATGTTAAAAAAATTATAACTTTACTATGGAAAAGAATGACTTTACATTGTAATCACTGTCTCTTATACACATCTAGATGTGTATAAGAGACAGGCATGGTATGGAGTAGAATGGAAGTGTCCTACGCTTACGCTTCGGACAATGATTATATTGTTTGCGGGTAAGTTTTTTGAAATTATAAACCAAATCGGTTGTTTTTTTTAAAAAAAAAGTTAAGATTTCTTTTCCTTTTTATAGTGTTGAATTACTCTTATGGATAATTTATGGTAAGAAAAAATAACTATGTTTTTCATTAATTTATTTATTCTTTAATTGCTGATCCGTTTAAAATCGGCACTTTTTTTGGGGTTAATTAACGGTTAAATTTAAGCAAAAATAGCACAATTGTAAGAAAACTACATAATACTAGAGAAGGGAACAATTCATTATATATAATAAAAATTATATAATATATGTAAAAAAACCCAAGGAAAAATAATATGTTAAAAAAATTATAACTTTACTATGGAAAAGAATGACTTTACATTGTACGCGTGTCAGATTTAAAAGCTATATGTATTTTATATATACGATAGTGCCGTTCTTAAACGGATCGGCAATTAAAAATACTTATTTTAACATACTTTATTATTATTTACAGCTGGCTTGCAATTTCAATACAGCACTTTAATAATAACTTCTGTTTATAGTATTTTAATTGTAATTTTATATTCTGGTCTTGGTGCAGTATTCTATAATCAAAAAAGAAGTCAAAGTCAAAATCATCCTACTCCTATAGGTCACACGAACAATGACTCTGGAACGAATAATGCCACCACGATTGAAGTTCATCAAACATAATTAATTATTAGTACTTTAAAAGTGTATTTTTATTTTCTAATACTATCATATTATATATATATATATACTGTATTTACATTTATTTCATTTCATTTTTTTTTTTTTTTTGTATTATAAATAAATTTATCATTACACCTAGCTGGCTGGGTGGGTAGCACTACATTATAGCATGAAATAAAAAAAAAATTATTTATCAGTAAACAACTAACAAATTAGAAAAACATTCAATTTTATTTAATATGTGCTCTTATAAAGATTTTCGCGTAAATGGATATATAGTTGAAAAACGCGTAAAACAACATGTTTGTTAATATTATAATATAGTATAACATGATATAACGAATTTACTATTTTTATAACTAATAATTTTTAGCGAGGGAAAGAATGTAAATAATTAAATATATAATGTGACAAAAGAATAAAATCTATTTAAGTTCCTTATGCATAAAGAAGGCGTTTTTCAACTAGCTAGTTTGGAGTTTTGACTTATCAGTTGAAGAAAAAAATTATTATATTCTACACTCTCAGCATTATATATCAAATAAAGTTGTGATCTTGAATAGGGAATCACACCAAATTCTTAACGTCTGAACATTGAATATTGATGCTTATCAATTGAGTAAAGTTTTTAGATTTGAAGATGCTTAAAATTTAGTAATTTTTGCACATATTACATTAAATTATCTTTTATATTGCACAAATTTAGCATATTAAGTAGATACTTTATTTTCTTACTGGTAAAGATTTTACAAGATTATCTCAAGTTGATTTATCAACTGGTAATATATTGCACTAGGCATTTCTTCTTCAAAGTCATTTAGTTCTTTACTTATATATTCAGATCCATATTTTTTTACTTCCTAATTATATATTAATACCCAGCTATCTTTATGTTTACAATTGGTTTGTATAGTTTATTTTTAATATTTTAATATAATTCTTGATATAATAAATATTCTTTTTAATCATTAATTCATAATATTTAAATATTAATATTTATCAATTAAATCAATTAATAAAGTTTTAAATTTAAAAACACTTAAATTTAGCAATTTCAAATATATTGCATTAAATTATTTATGAATAAAAATATTTATATAATTAATAATACTATTAATTATTTGTTTAATCTATTAATAAAATAATTGTAAAAACTGGTTTAAATTTTAATTTGCTTTTTTTCATTAATAAGATTTTAATATATTTAATATATAAGTAAAAATTATTTTTTGCAGATTTTTTAGCATTTAGTAATCCAATTTTGATAACTATTTTTTTAAATTATAAAGCTTAAATGCTTAATAAAAGCTATAATATATTAAAATAAAAAAAAATTCATTAAAATTCAACTACTAAATGTTAAAAAAATTCATATAATCCTAATTTTTAATTTTTTAAAAAATGGGTATTTACTAAAAATATGACTTATCTTATACAGTTCACCCTCGCTATAGTGAAGCTCATGGGCTGAAAACTAAAATTCACTATAGTAAGGGAATTCACTAATCACGTATAGTAAATAAAGATAAGATTTTCACTATATTAAAAATCCATTATTATCACGTGATGTATATTATAAAGTAATAATTAAAAGTCACGACGACTAAGCTTATTTTTATAAAAAACACATGCAATAAAATAAATTTTCTTTGTTTTTTTGTAAACCTGCGCATAAATACTTTTTATATTTATGTCACTCAAAGATTATTACTTTATTAAGTATGATAAACGCAATACTGCAAATCTGTAATACAATCATTTATAAAGACTATCCTGATCAATTTGGTATTCAATAAAACCTTCACACTCTTCATGATTATAAAAGTCCCCTTCGTTAAAATATAAAGTTTCAAAATTAATATTATCAACGTCCATAATATTATCTTTATCACCTATTCTATTCATATTATTATTATCAACACCATCAACGCTATCATTAGTTTTAACAAATAGGTCTAAACTCATTTGCTTCTTTGAAAAAAAATTATTTCTGTAAACTTCCCTTCTAGCTTTTTTAATAGCTTTAAAAGCACCTTTATCAATAATATCTTGACTTTTATTTTATTCTAAATAAATAAAAATTTTATCAAACGCGGCCAAAACTTCAGAGCTAGATACTGAAGTAATTTCCCTATCACTTTCATCATCAGAAATGGAGTTATTTTCTTTAAGAATGGCAACTATCTGTTCTTCAGTTAGTGTCTCACCAGTAATTTCATTCTCCTGATCTAATTTAATATATTCTTCAGCGGTAAGGGGATGTATATATTCAAGTTTATCAATTAAATCTTGGATTTCTTTACGTTCATTCTCTTCACGTTCATTCTCTTCTATTTCATCTTGAGAATCTGTATCATTTAATGGCAAAATTCCTGCATCTCTCCAGCAGTTAAATATAGTTTGAGAAAGAACTTTATCCCAGGCTGATACCACATACTTAATAGCTTTTTTGATATCAATTGGTGACTTACTATTGCCTGTTTCTTGTTGATAATCAAAGGCCTTGATACGATTTTTAAGGAGCAATTTTCGATAGTGTGCCTACAAATATATAAATATGGTAAGTTTAATTTCGTAATAATTAAAAAATTGCATTAAAATTTTTCAGAATTAATTACCTTAAAACTATTAATAATACCTTTATCACAAGGTTGCAGATGCGCGGTTGTGTTAGGAGGTAAAAACTTAATTTCTATATTAGTCAATTCTACACCTTCGTATAAAGCATGAACAGGAGCGTTATCTACAAGAAGAAGAATTTTTCTTCCTTTTAATCTCATTGTTGCATCAAATTGACGAATCCAATCATTCCAAATGGAGACTTGCATCCAAGCTTTTATATTCCAGTAATATTCTACCGGTAAAGATGACTTGGGTAAGTTTTTCAAGGGACGAGGGTTTTTGTATTTATGAATAAATACTGGTTTAAGCTTTTCTCTACCAGTTGCATTAGAACAAAGAAGAATTGTCACACGATCTTTTGATTGCTTTCGTCCAGATATAGGTTTATCAGAAATCGTTCTTTTAGGTTCCATTTTCCAATACAAACCAGTTTCATCACAATTGAAAACATCATCAAGACTATATCCACGAATCAAATCTTGAAGCTCTTTCCTAAATTCATCAAGTTTCTCAAGTGGTGCACTTGCAGCCTCTCCTTGCTTTAAATAACAAGAAAGATTGTGCCTTTTTTTAAATCCATTAATCCAACCATTACTTCCTTTAAAATTTTCAATCTTATATAAAGATGCAAACATCATAGCTTTTTCATGTAAAACTTGATCACTAATATCAACACTATTTTCCAAAGCTTTTAATACCCATAACGTAAGTGCTTCTTCAATTTCTGGAAAAATCACCCTAACTTGTCTTTTACCTTTAGCTTCAGGTGCTTGGGGATCAATTTCAAGCCATTTTTGTGAATTTTTTAACGTACTACTAATACATCCTTCACTAACATCAAATAATTTCGCTAGTTCTTTATTTTTTAGAGAAGGTTCAGTAACTTTTTTAAGACATATTTCATGTTTTTGGGCAAGAGTCAAGGAGGCTCTTTTTGGCAAAGTTTTTTCTTGGGATATTATACCTTTGCCTATGGTTATTTGAGTACGCGAAGTTCTTTTATTTTGAGTTTTGGGCATAGTGTGTGAAGAAAATAATTAACTAGATCAGGATTACTTTTATTATAATCAAAATAAAATATGATACTTTTCCTTTTTAGTTTAAATCACGAAAAAATTCTAGCTTCTAAAGGCAAATTCGAATTCAAATAAATTATACGTGATAAAAAATTCACTAATTAATTGTGTAACATTTGAAAAATTCGTTATAGCAAAAATCTTTACTATATCAAGGGTCATTTTATTAACACTGGTTCCAGTATTTAAATTCGAATTACGAGATACAGAAAATTTATTATAAAATTCACTATATCAAGAATTATTATTTATAAAAAAATCCGTACCTAGACTTTTCTTTATTATAGTGAGTTATTCACTATATAAAAATTCACTATAGCGAGGGTGAACTGTATTAAAGATTTTCAGGATTTGATTTTAATACCTTAAGTTTTTATTTATAATTAAAAAAAACTATTTTTATTATTTAAAATAAAACTAGTGTTCACCTGTTGTCTACGACAACAGTTAATATGTAATTCCGGCCAGAATTAAAAGATCTGCAAAGAATTTCCTTTTTTGGAAATTTGAGCAACACAATTTTTTTAATTTCTCTGAAAAGTAACAGAAGACAAAATTTCCTTTTTTGGAAATTTGCGTAACCGACAATTTCCTTTTATGGAATCCTGTGTAACCCAAAATTTCAGTTTTTCGACAGAAATAAAATTTCCTTTTTGGTCTTGTGTAATATTGGCGACGAATAGGAGTAGGGTTACACAATTCAAATGACTTATTTATATGGTTAATCTAAACATAACGCCCACGTGATTGCAGTGTTTTTAAATATATAGATTCATTAATAAATATTAAAATAATAGTTATTTTTAAATATTGTATATCATATTAAATATAATTTAATTAAAATTATTATACTAAATATTTTTTTTAAAATATCATATTTGACTATTAAACTTTTTATAAATTGGTTAATAAAACATTAAATATTATTTATATTAATAATTTGCAGTATTATTGCTTATATTTATATAAATTATTACTAGCTAGTATATATTTTATTTTTACTAAACATTTTAATAAAAATATTTTTAAATAGTAAAAAAGTAATAATTAAATACAGTATAAATTATAAAAGTAATTTAAAGTAAATTTTATATTATTAAATTTATTTTAATAAAAAAAATCCAATAATAGTAAAATTGTATTTTAGTATTAATATTAATTGAATATTATGAAAAATGTGTTTTTTTTTTACTTTTTTTCAAATTATTATATTATAGAATATTGATATATTGCTAAATATCACCAATAGTAATAGTTATCAGTAATAAAATTATAATATAATACTAGCCAGTATTTTATTAAATTTTTAATTCTAGTCAAAAGTATATTATAATGCTGATATAATAACTATCAGCTTTAGCCATTTTTATATTAATATTATTTAAAATTAATTTTATTATAATTAATTAATATATTATATACTACAGTAATTGCAATTATTTTATTTTAAATATTATTAACTTTATTATTAAAGTATATAAATAATAAATATTATAAAATTAAAAAAATAATCAGATATTTTTTTTACTAATATTTATTATATAATAATTCAATTGTTAATTGAAATTAATTTGTAAAATTTTCTATAGAAAATAAATATTTATAATTAATAATATTAAAATTTAAGTATTAAAATTTTTTTTTTAATAATTTTAAATAGTACTAGTAATATAAAAAAAAAAATATAAATAGAATATTTATATTTATTAGTAGAAAAACTTTTTATATTTTTGTATAGTTTATTATTTTTATTAAAAATATAATTTAAAATTAATAGTATTAGTTATTTCTGATTTTTTATTAATTGGTATGAATATAACTATATTTAGATTATTTTTTTATTATTTTCTTGCTGGTAGAGATTTATTTAGTTTTATAAAACTATTTTGAGTTGATTTATCAACTGATAAATATATTGCATCAGGCATTTCATCTTTAAAATCATCAGGTTCTTTACTTGTATATTTAGATCCATATTATTTTCTGATTATATACCAGTACTCAGTTATTTTTATGTTTATCAAATGTTTTTTTATCAATATTTTCATAAAAGAAAATAAGGTTGAGTCCCATTTCATTATCAACTTTACAGCCATATTCATCACTTATATAAGTGAAAGCTATGGAACTGATGGCTTCATTTTTTATTGAAGCAGGACACCTGAAATTCTGCTGGCCTGTACAATTTACAAAGGCATTAGTTAGAACATCAGAACATCATAATCAAAATACTACCATATATATGTATTGTTTGTACATTATTTAAAGAAGATTGAGTTTTACCAAAAAACCTTTATGTCTGTCCTGGTGATGATTCATATTTGTGAAGGGATTCAACTGTCTTAAATGGATTGAAAATTTTAATATCAGGTAGTATCAGATGGGCTGGAAGTTTCAGTGTATCATTAAGCATTTATTGAGAATGAAATCATTATTTAATGACTCTGCAATATTTGAGTAACAAATTATTATTTAATGACTTAAAATATTAATATTTAACAATAATAAAACCTGAATCATTTTTTTCAATAAGATTCAAAAATTTTAATTTCTTTATTTCCAACCATTCTGTAGACAAAAAAAGTTTTTAATAACTAAAAAAAAAATAGTATAGATTTAATGAATTATATTTACTTACTTTTTTCTTCATCATTAAGTTCCAAATTAGTTGACATATTAATAAGAGTTTAAGAATGAATTTATCCTTTTTTGTAAATTGAAAAAATATGTTGTTTAAAAAATTGGGTATATTATACTTTATAAATGGTGATTTATTTTATTTTAAAATATTAAAGTAATTCACTATTTAACACTAAAAACTGACTCAATATTTATCGCTCCGGACCCATAACAGTATCCGTTTCCTAGTTATGTAATTATTGTCATCCTATTACAGATAAGATATTCAATATTTAATACGAGAAACTGCGATCAGATGGTTGCACGATCCATCTATGCAACTCGTTATTTGTATTTTAAGAGCGATGATAAAGATTAATAACAACAAATTAATCATTTTAATGCAAAAAATAATATAATTATTTTCTTTTATGATTGATCTTTTTTAAGACTAACAAGTACAATCAAATTTAATTTACATTCATCCGACATCTATTACAATTAAAATATAACCCTATAGAATTAAATGGAAGTAAGACAAATTTACTATAAATCGATTGATTTTTTTTTCTTTTTGGGCTTTTAAGAATGAAGCAACTCGAGTACCAACGTGAAGAATAAACCTTACTGATCCATACATGAAGTAATGAAGTACCTACTACGATTTAAATATGATCTTTTTAAGACTAACAAGTAACAATCAAATTTATTTACATTCATCTAACATTCTATTACATCTTTTCACTTGTAAATAATTATTTTATCAGAGTAAAAAATTCATACTTCATTGTTGTTATGCATTTTTTATAGTTTAATGGATTAAATCGGAGTTTTATAATAAAGTAATACTGTAAGCGCGCTTATTTTCAAATACTCCTTGATTATAAGGGGGATCATCTGTCATGATGTTGCACAATTTCCATTTTTGACACAATCAACAATTATATGTGACTGGAAATATGTGAAATATGAATATGAATTTTGAACTTAAAATTTTTCCCCATGAAATCATGCATGCAGTGGGAGAATCAACGTTGATGATCCTAAAGCCTAAAGGTATCAAACCTTTTTGAATGGATGTAATATGAGAAAATCTTTACTAATTTATTATGAATCGTCTCATGTTCATCCCACGGAAATCCAAACGTAATTTTTAAGATTAAAGATTTCTTTTGCTAAAAAGGAAAATAGAAATTACTCAAATAAACTATTTACACTTTACACATGGTTGCATTCAAAAAAGAAAATCGGAATATACTCCTTAAAAGAAAATAAATAAATCATACTCTCGATAAGGAAATCGATGACCAAATTGAACTATAACTTTAAATAAACTACATTAGTTTATAAATTATATGTGGGAAAAATAGTCAAAATACGAAGGATATAAATAGAATAAATTTCTTTATGTAGAATTTCAACAAACTTTCACCGTAAATCCTAAAATATATGATATAAAATGAGTATAAATTTTCCGAAAAAAAAAAAAAAAAGTCCACGATGGTCACACAAACAAACATTACCTTGGATAATTTTAATAAAGGCGTAGTATATGACTCTTTCTTTATCTTAATAAAGTAATTTTCTTATCATTTTCCAGAAAAAAACGTGTAATTTTTAAGTTATAGTGTGATTTTGTTGTTTGATGTTAAAAAGGGAGTGTATATCGTGTATATCAAAAATAAAAATCTCATTGATTTGTAATATAAATAATATAAATAAAGTATATTTATTTTTGCTCCAAAAATTTTTTCTTTTTAAAAAAAAAAAAAATTTTTTTCTTCATTCTCACGGCTTTAAATTTTTTGACGATTAGAAGCGAAAAAAAATTTTTCTCATAATGACAGTTGGACGGAGAACTTTTCTCGTTTGGAGAATTATTCAATTTTGGACTATTCTAAATATATTTATCCTAGGTATGAATAATTTTTTTTGTGAAACCTTCTCTTCTTTGAAATAACGTTAAAATTTTCTGATTTTTTTTTTCATTCAAATAGAAATTGTTCAGATATCAGGATTTCATTCAACTTATTGGTTGGGACCGTGAGTTTTAATTCACAAAATTCGCGCGACCTTTTTCAAGAAAAATAAGTTTATTTTTTTTTCTCTCTTTACAGAGCTAATAATCAAAATATAATCTGGGTATCTGAGGCGATTAGTTTTGTTGTCATAGGTAATATATTATATCACGTGAATTTGGCTTTAATGTATAGAGTAAATAAAATTATTTTATTTTTTTTTTCCAGGACTTACATTGGTCAATTTCAATGAACGATGGGAGAATGGACCATTTAAAACAGATATGGCCTTTGATTGGTTTGTATAAATATTATATTTAATATATTAATATATATATTGCCAAACAATTCTTTTGACGAATTTAATTTACTTCTAGGATTTTATTTATCGTTTGGAATGTTCAAAGTAAGTTCGATTTGGGGCAAATATACGTCACTATGAAGGGGTGACCCCTATCCAATAATTGTGTTACATGCTGGTCATTACAACCCCGTCAACTCCCTGATCAACATTATAGAAACATGATTTCGATGACAAAATTGTTATATAAATTATTATTTTTTTGAGTTACATCCTTCTAATAATAAATTTTTTTTTTTATAATAAATAGGTTTTTTGAATATAACACCCGCCATTTTCGGTTATGGATTAAATTGTAGTTTAGGTGCGATTCCATATAAGATAACCACATTTGATGGACAAACGAGATGTCGTTTATTCATTGTCAGTACAGCTCTTTCATATTTCGCCCTTTTTACTACAGTTGTTACATTAATGTTATCAAAATCAAGATGGGACAATAGAGAATTAATTCAATCATCGAGTCGTAATCGTAAATTGCAAGCATTTTACAAAGTTCAAAAAGGTTCATTAGATAATGGTGAACCTGCATTATTCTTTTATTCAAGGAATACATCTCCTAATAGTTTACATAGAACTAAATTAAGAAATTCAATTAAACATACTTTACCACCATCATCATCTCCTATTAATATTTCAATACCAGAACCTGAAATGGCTGCTATTACAAAAGATAGTAAAGAGACTTCTATTGCTATTAATGATGAAAAAAATGAAAATGAAAAAGATGATTCAGTTTTGAAATATTAAAAATTTACATTTGTTATAATATATATACATTTTTTATAATCTTAATATCTTAATTAACAAACATATGTTCTATACTATTTGAACTTTTTTTTTCTCTTTTCCTTTATTTTATATTATATATTTAATAATAATTATAATAAAAAAAAAAAAATTGTTTTTATGTAAAAACTTTTAATTATATAATTTAATACGTTAAATAGAAAAAAAATTGAGAAACATTAATATATCCTGAGTGGATTATGTCATTTTCCATTGTTGACTTTCTGGGCAACTTGCAATCTTCGTCAATTCACCAAATGATTAGGTATTTGTAACGCCAAAGAAAGTTATTTGATTTTTGTGATTTTTGTGTCATTTTTGATGCCGTTTCAAGGTACTCTGATTTGATTGTACAATCATCAAAAAAAAACATTCTCGGAGATGATTGCGGCAAATAGCAAGCCTCGACGATCCATCTTATGTGGTGGAATTGTTTTGTGACACTAAGATCACAACCTTTGCTGTTTTAGACCGAAATTTATATGAGCATTGATCCGGCCCGTAATTAAAAAAGATCAATTTGATCTGGTCGAAACAATGCAAGTATGATGAGATAATCTGATGGGTAATCGGTTGGTAACGTATTGGAATGTAATGTAATCGATTTATAATGCAATGTAAGCGATTTGTAATGGATTTGTAATGTAATGTAAGCGATTTATAAACGATTGGTAATGTAATGTAAGCGATTTGTAATGTAGCGTAAACGATTTGTAATGTAATGTAAGCGATTTGTAATGTAATGTAAGCGATTGGTAATATAATGTAAACGATTTGTAATGTAATGTAATTGATCGATGATGTTATTGATAAGATTTATAGTCAATTTATAATCATCTTTCTCAGGTTAAAAAACGCCTTTCCAGTAAGATATACTTGAAAAGATTTATCTCGTATCAAAATCACAAGACATTTCAATTCCTCTATTTTGTAATCTAATAATAAGAGTGATTAGAGAAAATTATAATGAGAAAAGAAAATTATTTTATGAGGAACTTACCCGCATTTTTCATAGAAAGAAATATTCTAAAAAGAAAATAAAATAAAATAAAATATAAATAAAAGGAAAAAGATCATAATCAATAATCTAATGTTAAATTTGTTTAATTTTTACCTCAACAGAACAATCCAAGATAGCTATAGTTGTAAAAAAATATTATGAATGAGTAAAAAAATAATAAAAAAAATAAAATATCAAATTTTTTTAACCATAAATTATCAAATTTTAAAAAAAACCTTTAATACATCCAGTTTTAATTCCAATATATTTGAGTGCTTGAACAATACTAATGATATGTTTATGTAATTGTTTAATAAATCAAAATTTTAAATTTTTTATAATCATAATTAATTCTTATTACCTTGAACCAAAATGTTTGCCTTGATGATTTTTATCAATAGCAACATCTTCAATATGTCCAACCTTAATAAAATTAAAAAGATAATTTATAAAAATTCTTTTTGAGAGAAATATTAATTAGTAAATATAAATATATATTGAATTACTAACAAGTCCAGCATTAAAGATAAATTTACGTTCAACAAAAATTGTTCCAGTTCCAACAATGCGATTTTCGGGAGAAATTATTACGATGATAAAATATTCATCGTTACGAGCTCTCATGTAATTGAAACGTTCTAAATAGGTTTTTTTTATACAGCAAGAATTATGATGAAATATATATTCGAAACGATAGTTATGAACACGGCAAAAAAGCAAATTGCCTAACCAAGAAATTGATCTTTAGAAAGATTTCCTATATCTTCAAATACTGATAATACTTCAAAAAAACCAAGTTCATAATCATCGATAGATAAAGGTCGTAAAGTATAACCTTTAGGTAACGACGCTTGAACTTCAGGCGAAATAAGATCAGTCGAAAAAAGGTTTTTTTGTGTGGACATATTAGAATGTAAAATTATTTTAAAATTTATAGATAAACTTGACTTTTTATAAGGAAATTGGAAACGATAATTTATACTTGGTTGGGAAAGAGTTTCCAAATGGAAATAAATTCATCCATTACATGATCATTGAAAATTTAAACGGTTACACATTTTATTTATACTTCAAAAATAGTCATGATAGTTACATAAGGGCAAAAATGTAGACAAATTATTTTTAAGCCTTCTCGTAATTCTTAATTACATATTGTTCATAAGTTTGAATATTTGGATGTAATTTTTTAGCAATAGAAATATCATTAACTTCACTATCCTTTCCATAATATCCAAATTCTTTGAACCATTTGAACTAAAAAAAAGAAAATTGAAAAAGAACGAAATTTTATTTAGCAAGTTTGGAACATGAATTCAAAAAGATTAATATTATAAAAATTACCGTTTGTTTAAAATCTTCATTGCTAAAGTATGGGAATTCTTTGGCAATTTCATCATCTTCACGTAAAGTTTTTAATTTATAAGTTTTTCCGGTTGCTAGATTAAAATAATTTATTTTATTGATTTTTTTTTACAAATTTTAAAAAGAATTATTTAATAATTACCTTTAATCAATGATTCAGTAAGATATTTCAAAGTAATATAGTCAGCAGCAACGGGAACCTTTTTACCATTCCATTTATCGGGTCCTTCCTCAATAATTTTTGCAACAATTGGCTATAAAAAAGATGATTTTTATTTTCAAGGGTTTGTCAATTTGTTTATTTACATAATAAAAAAATATATATTTATTAAATTATTACGTACTCCGGTATCATTTTCAGCATCAATCAAAGGAAGCTTATCATTCTCTTCTAAATAAGGAACCATGAGTTCAATTTCCCCATTTTCTTTCTGAACCATAGGTATGAAATTTCCAAAATTTTGATAATAGAAACCGAGGTAGATAAATGTTACATTTGGAATTCCTAATTTCCTAATGTACTGTTCTACGCGATTTTTACCAGCAAAGTGATAAATCTCAGTGTATTTTCCTCCAGATTCAGCGGTGGTATCAGGGAGAGAACTATTTTAGGCGTAAAGCTTTTCAACTTTCGAACCAAAGATAAAGAATGTAAAGAATGTAATGATTATATATTTACCTGTAAATTAACCAGTTAATTCCTTCTTCTTTAACAATATCGGCAATCATTTTGCCTTGTCTTTCCTCTTCCTTAGAATCTTGACCAACAATTGACTAAAGTTTACATAAAATTTTAAAAATTTCTCATTGTTACATAAATTATTATTATTCTTATTATTAATTTACTTACTGGATCCCAGAAATTGGTAACGATCCAAGCAATATCAGCACCTTTTAAAGCATTTTTAACATCATCCTTGTTAGATAAATCACATTTAAATATTTCAACTCCTTTAGATTCCAACGCTTTTGCTTTTTCTGAATCTGGTTTACGAGTTAATCCTCGAATTTTGTAATGTCCAGTAGCAAGAAGCGAATTAACAACGGATCCACCCTGAACACCTAATTAATTAGAGTTAGCGATCAGAAATATATTAAAAAATATCCCGAGATAAATGAATGAAATAAAAATATATATTACCAGTAGCACCGCTTACAACGATTAAAGGTTTTTTGTTTTGAGACATTATTAAAGTGTGTGTTCTTTCAAAAAAAAAAGATTATTTCGATTTTTCAAGGAATAGATTGATGATTCTTTTGATGGGAGCATTTCTACCCTTTAAATATGCCATTTTTCTTGTATTATTAATCAAAAAATTAATTAAATTTTTTACAAGAAATAGAAAAAAGATTTTTCCAAGAGTAACGAAACGCAAACAGAAAAAGCATAAATTATTAATATAATCAAAAATTTCATATTTTAAATGATTTTTTAACAACTTTAGCTTAGCAGATAAATGAAATAAACTTGAACTATACCTGTTATCGAGCGAGATGATTATTTTTTACAAAAATGAATTAGCTGTTTTGATAAAAAGGCAAAGATTAACAATTTTCTCGGAATTTGTCCGACAACGCCCAATGAAAAAGATTTATATTAATAAATATCTTAATATTTGAATTTTTTGAGCAATTCGCAATCGTTGCGTTGTTTATCTTTCTTTTCCCATCCTTGTTAGAAAATCATATTATTGAAATTTACTTTCAACTTAGTTATGCACAAAATTTAATTTAAAATACACCCACAATTTATGTATAATTTGTGTATTAGTGAAAAAATTTACATTACGCTATTTTTGAACATAGTTAAAATAATAAAAGAATTTGACTAACTAATTACAGCTCACTCAATAATATTAGTATCATTAAAGTTTTATCTTTGATTGACATCACCAAATGCTATATTTGTAAAATTACTTGCTGCGCATTTACAAAATAGTATAAATTAGTAAATAATTATTAGTAATATGATACAAAGTAGTTCTTATTGATTAAATAAAAAATATGATATCATAGTATTAAAATCAAGTGGCGTAAATATGATACTGGTGATAAAGTACTGGCTAGATAAGAATATATTTTTTTATCAGTCAATATCACATGATAGCTCTAGAATAATTGGCTGATAATTTTTTTTTTCTTTTTATAAATGCACCCCCTTTTTTTTTTTAAAAAAAAAATTTTATGAAAAGTACGGTAAGGTTTATAATTTTTTCTATCCGATAAGTCTATTAATATTAACGTGCACTTTTCAAATTCAGTTCGTTATAGTCCTTATTTCACCCGTTCTCAGGCTCGTTCTTAGGCTAGTTCTCAAGCTTCCCAGACTACAGATACACGAGATAACATCATCAACTCACCTTCACAACCTGAGAAAAAGAAAATTACTAAAGACCACCTTCTTGCTTTACCCTAAGTAGAGTCAGCGGAACAATACACTGGATCAAGAGAAATCATTCTAAAAACAAATGTATCGCTTGATAGCTATCTTCAATATCGTGACAGTGGCCCAAACCTTCCAGTTCGTATATATTTAAATAACGGTACGATTAAAGCATATGAGGTACCTACCTCTCCTCATTCAACCGCAGCAGGAATTATCATGGATGAATTATATGCTTGGATCATCAAAATTTGAGGTATGGAACTGCTGCGACTTTTATTCTGGGCGCAAATTCTTCAAAGGAGTCCGATTCTTGGGTCAGACCAAAAAAACGAAATCGGCCACTACCTAGTGCAGCGTCAGATAACTTGGGAAATCCGTATCCGTCAATGATCATCGAAGTTTGCAACACTCAAAGTCTTCCTGATCACCACCAAAAAGTGGCTCTTTATTTTTCTCTGCGCACAACAATCCCAAATCGTATTGGTAATTAAAATATTCCAACCTAGAGTAAACAATACTTTGGTTTTAATTGCCGCAAAATTCTTACGAACAAGCTCGACCCCGCTGATTCCAGTTGGTTTTGGACAACGAGTCCGGAGAGAACAACTTTAAACTATATTACCAACACCATGGGTGTTCCTTTAAATAACATCATTGGAGGTGGACTCACTGACCCAATTACTGGCAATAATTATTCCGCTTGCAATATGGCTGGTATTGGAACATATATTGTGAACATTCAGGGCACTGAGCTTTTCGATGGAGATCCAACTCTTCATCCTCTTACCGCAGCAATGACCCATGGATTTGATTTGGACTTGTTTTTAGATTTGGAATTTTAAGTTTCATCAATGAGTGTTCTTGTTTGCTAATGCTAAAAATTAAATAGAATATATATATAATGCTTTTTTATTACATTATATTATTTAGCGTAAATATAATTTTTTTTTATTAGAATATTTACTAGACAAATTAATTCAAAGTAGTAGAACATTTCCTTCATTTCAAACTTGGCATTAACGGTAGCGATAGTGCAAACTCATAAAAAAAATAAAAGCTATCTGTACGCATCAAAGATTGAGTGGGTCGAGTGTTATAAATGTTATGACCGTCAGATTATTTCAACTCTTTAAAGATAGTTTTAAGAAATGAGAACGGCACGAAGAACAGGACTATGATAATGGTAGATGTGAATATGTTTATCCAGCACCATAGTTTAGAATCTTTCTCTCATTTGAAAAGGAAAAAATAATTTTGTAATCGTAGTTGTTTAGTGTTACATTGTCTTAACGTTGTTGAGAGACAAGACGCTTACGGGAATGATATAGTCACTGAAATAATGATATATTCACATTTTTTGTACAATCTAATACTAATTCTAATGTTGCTACTGTAAATCTAGATAACAGTAAACAGAAATGCTAAACCTTATAAAATTAAAAGATGAATATAAAGTTCTTTCTGAATTAAATTTAATTATAAATATATATTGAATTACTAAAAAGTCTAAACTTCGAAAATTTCCTTTATCTTCAAATACGGACAATACATTAAAAAAACCAGAGTTCATAATCGATAAAGTATAACCCTTTAGGTGAACCTTAGATCAATTGAAAAAAAAAAAGGGTTTTATGTGCATCATATTAGCGTGTAAAGTTATTTATAATAACAACTTGACTTTTTTAAGTTAATTAGTGGGAAAGAATTTCCAAATGGAAATAAATTCATCCATTTCACGATCATTAAAAAAAACTTAAAACGGTTACATTTTATTTATATTTCAAAAAAAAAATAGTTACATTAAGGGCAAAAAAAGGAAAGTATTTTTTTAAGCCTTTCCGTAATTCTGAGTTACAAATTGCTCAAAAGTTTTAATACTTGGGTGTAATTTCTTAGCAGTAGAAAGATCACTAACTTCAGTATCCTTTCCATAATATCCAAATTCTTTGAACCATTTGTACTATAAAATAAAATAAGAACGAAAATTTATTTAGCAAGTTGGAATAAAAGAATTCAATATGATTTTATTAATACCGAAATTACCATTTGTTTAGCTTCTTCGTTGTTCAAAAACGGGGTTTCTTTTGCGATTTCATCATCTTGTAGAGTCTTTATTTTATAAGTTTTCCCAGTAGCTAGATTTGAAAATAATTTTATTTAATTTTTTTTTTAAAAAAAATTCAAAAAAAGTTTTAATAATTACCTTTAGTAAATGATTCAGCAATAGATTTCAAAGTAGCGTATTCAGCAGCAACGGGAACTTTTTTACCATTCCATTTTTCAGGTCCTTCCTCAATAATTTTTGCAACAATTGGCTATAAAAAAATGATTTTTTTTTCAATTTGTTTGTTTACATAAGGAAAAAAATCATTAAATTAATACATACACCAGTATCATTCTCAGTATCAATCATAGGAAGCTTATCGGTTTCCTCTAAGTAAGGAAACAAGAGCACAACTTCATTGTCTTTTTCAACCTGTGGTACGAAAACTCCAAAATTTTGGGAGTAGAAACCGAGATAGGCAAATGTTACATTTGGAATTCCTGATTTCCTAATGTACTGTTCTACGCGATTTTTGCCAGCAAAGTGAATAATTTCGGAGTACTTTCCTTCAGATTCAGTAGTAGTATCAGGAAGAGAACTATATGAAATTTTTATTTTAAGTATAAAGCTTTTTTCCAGAATTAAAGAATGTAACGATTATTAAATATTCACCTGTAAATTAACCAGTTAACTCCTACTTCTTTAGCAATGTCGGCAATCATTTTACCTTGTCTTTCTTCTTCCTTAACATCTTGACCAACAATCGACTAAAGTTTACATAAAATTTTAAAAATTTCTCATTGTTACATAAATTATTATTATTCTTATTATTAATTTACTTACTGGATCCCAGAAATTAGTAACGATCCAAGCAATATCAGCACCTGTTAAAGCCTCTTTAACATCATCCTTATTGGATAAATCACATTTAAATACTTCAACTCCTTTAGATTTTAACGCTTTTGCTTTTTCTGAATCTGGTTTACGAGTTAATGCTCTAATTTTGTAATGTCCGGTAGCGAGAAGCGAATTAACAACGGATCCACCCTGAGCACCTAATTAATTGTGATAAGTGTTAAAAATATCATGAAATGAGCGAATAAAATAAAATAAAATAAAAATAAACATTTACCGGTAGCACCGCTTACAACGATAAGTTTTTTGCTTTGAGACATTATTAAAGTATGTTCTGATTTTTCAAAGAAAAGATTGATGATTTTTTTTTAGATGGGAAAATTTCCACCCTTTAAATATGACATTTTTCTTATAATTATTAATTCTTTTATTCGAAAATTAATTCTTTTATTCTAAAAAATAATTTTAAAATCCCCAAAAAAAAAACTTAAAAAAAATTATTATTTGTTTATTTTAGCCACACTTTAAATAAATAAACAATTTGTAATCGTTAAAAGTCCACTTTAAAATATGTGGCATAGATTGTTGCTGATATAATATATAATATGGCATTAAGCCATCCATAAACGACTGTTAACAATGTAAATCCGCTCGAATCTTCGGAAAAAGTATAAGCCTTTGAGAAAGTATAAGCCTTTGAGGAACCTTGAATAAATTAATATGTTGTTAATAAATTAAATTAAATTAAATAAATAAATATATATATATATTTATTTATTTATNTAAATTAAATTAAATTAAATAAATAAATATATATATATATTTATTTATTTATACCATAAATTATCCATAATATTATTAAAAATCTAGATTAAGAAAAAAAAAAAAGTAAAAAATTAAAAAATTTGACGAATAAAATTTTTTATTCATATAATAAATAATATTTACATGTTCAAAAAGACATCCGAATTGGCTGTATTTTTATTCCATTGTTTTCCGATTGTAATTATGTAATATCCACTTAAAAAAAGGGCAATAAGATCTGGAAGAATAAACCAAGCCAAACTCGGGACTTTCGAAGGAATACTTGCAAGTACGGTATCTGAAAGAAAATATATATATAAATTATTTTAAATGTATTTATTATATTAAATGTTATTTTAATAATTACCAACTGAAAAGCATACGAATGAGAAAGTAAATTGTATTGTTCTCAAATAATGTAAAAATTCTTGCATTTTTGATTTATGAGAAATAAAAAAAAACTTTTTTTTTTTTCAAGAGTAACGAAATGCAAGTAAAAAAAAAGCATAAATGAATGAGAGACTATGCACAACATTTTATTAATATAATCATACTTTAGAAATGAAATTACAACTTTAGCTTAGCAGAGATTGTTATTATATAAACTAGAATTATTACCTGTTATGATTTTGATAGTCTCACTTTTGGGTCATAGTTGTTTTAAACTTTTTTATAAAAGGCAAAGATGAACGACTCGTCAACGCCCAGAAATTATTATAAATCAGTATAAATTATAAAATGTATTAGTTGAAAAAATATTACATAACAAATTATGCAGCTGCGCATGCACCAGGTTGTAGTACATGAATGTTCTCATTGATTGAATAAATTCTTATTCTTAAATAAAATATTAACATTATTCATATATGATATTATAAAATTTTATTAATAATTATTATTCACTATTTTAAAAGAATAAACAAAAAATCTCTCCTTGAATTTTAAGACACGAGTAAATATCATCCCGATATATTCTGTGATTCTTTAAATCTGAATATTAGTCATAATCATGAATTATTAATCATTAATTAATCATTTATCATCACCTGATTGCTACCATTTACACAGCAGTTGAATAACCATTACTTGAATTACAAATTAAATCTTTCTCGCTTTTTCTATCAAAACATATACAGTACATTAATCACAAAGGTATAAAATTTAGCACACAAGACTTTACTGCGCATATTATCCTCAGTATCTCACAATTTTTCCACCCACGTGATTTGTATGTTAAACAATTTCCGCAGTTGCTAGAATGGCAGGACTGCCAAAATTGCAAAATGGTGTTAACTGGGCAGTTGTAAAATAGATACTGGCATAATTGGTATGGAATCACTTAAATATTAATTTATATTTTAAATAGCTTATTTGGCTGTTTATAAAAGTATACAGTATGATTTTGGGACTTTTATCAGAAAGCTATATATGTGGTTTTGTAAGATTATTGCAATTCGTTTTTGTCTGCTAAATTATTTTATATATATCTATACATTTTATTTTATAAATCTTGTATATATAATTATTAAAAAAAAAGTATAATTGTAAGACTTAAATATTTAATCTTTTGTAATTAAATGTATTATTCATAAAAAATTTCTCTATTGCATCGTATTTCTTAGCCATAATATATTTTCCTATAAAGTTCATTCACTTATAATGTATGTACAGTATGATATACTGTAACTAATACTAAAATTACTCGATTTAGCCTCATTTTAAAAAAAAAGTTCTAAAAATATGCAATCCACTAACTCGACTTTGACTAAAAAAAAAAAATATTCAAATTGTATGCGAATCGAAATCTAACCTTGTAAAATTACGATGCAATGGTGAACTCTCTTACATACTTTATATATTTCAGGCTTCTATTTTTAATTCCGATATTTTTAAATCCGATATTTTTAAATGATGGGCCGTTTTACAAATTTAATTTGCCGATCCTTTTGGATTTCTTATAATCCAATCCATGTTCATAAATAAAATGGATCTGGTTATGGCATTTTGTATTACATTTATTACATTAGTGATAAACAATGATTTGATTAAATAAAAATTTAAAACAGCGAATATCCAAAGACATATTATAATTCTTTCACTTATGTAAGTGATATAGCTAGTTACTGTATTTTGGACCAAACTGACACATCTTTTGAAGAAACATCTGTGATAATATTGATTTATCGGTCTGAATGTATCATATAAGAATAAAAAAGTTTTAGTAATAATAACTGATAATATTTAATTATTATAATGTGTGAAATGGTGGTGGTATGGTGCCGTGGATTGGTAAAGTCTGAATCCATTAGATCAACTCAATCAGATTTTTAATTTGTGAATCTGAGACGTCTACTCAATTCAATCCAAATGAATTTGAGAATGCACCCAAATAATATGAAACTATGGTAACTTTCACACTGAACAGTTTAGCAGTTTTCTCTTTTATCTATTTTTTCGTTGATCGCTAAAAAAAACATTTTCTATCATAAGATGAAAGATGGCTTAGAGTTGCAAATAATACTTTTTTATAAAAATTTTGTCCGAATATTTCCGTATCTTCATGCTCTGTGAAATCTGCGCTACACGATCGGGTATATGATCAACCCATTGTTACGCGGCTATACATAATTCCGAAGAACTGAATATTTAACACGACATACAAAGTTCGTCTAAGAAAACTTTTAGAACTTTAAAATCAATTAATTCAATTGATTATTAATCTTGCTGTATCCAGGAAATTCAATACCAAAAATTTTGTGCAATTAATTTTTACACAATAAATTCAACACCAAAAAACCGACTAAACGCTATTCGGATTTGCGGACTTTTAATTTGACCGAGATTTAGTGAGCTATATGATTGGTGAAAATGGCTGCCGTGTGATCCATTTTATCTATAAATTTACACGAAAAAAGATTTCTTTGAAATTAAAATTTTTTAATTGTTGGAATTTTCTAAAATTTACATTTTTGGACGTCCTATGCCGTGGAACTGTTACCACTTTCTTTTTTCTTATCATTGTATCCAAATTCGGATAAATCTTCGCGTAAATGTTACGATCAATCAATATATAAAGATCGTGTTATTTATATGCCGCCATATGTATGACACATAAATTTTGTACTGCATACATTCTTACAAAAAGTTTCATTATTAAATAATTATTATTGGATATTGTATAAAATTTAAGGGACCGAGTTTGAAAATTTGGAAGAATTTACGATTTACGAAATCGTCATATACTCATATTTTCTTTCCTCTTTCCTTCTTTCCCATTTTTTTTTTCTTTTTCTTGTGTGAGCCACACTCTTTAAAATCTTATATATGTAAAATTGACCGATTGTATCAGTCAATTTCAGTTTCCTGGAGAAACTTTGTACAAAATTATAAAAATTATTCTTTAAAATTTGTTCAATAGAAAAAAAAGTAAAAGAGAAAAAAAAAATGGTGAAACCGCTTCATGAGCAACCAAATTTGTTTCGCCGAATAAGAATCTTACAACTTTCAACAGTTATAATTATTAGCTTTTTAGGTAAAAATAATCTTGTCATTTTTTATATTAATTACAAAGTCATTAAAAAAAGAATTTTGTTTTTATGGGCAGAAATTATACAAGTGATCGCTTTTATTGGAAAACTTAAAGATTCTAAACCTATTACATATTATTTATCTTCTGCAACGTGAGTTTATAATTTAATTTCATTTTTCTGAATCTGATGACTTCATAATATGATATAACCCTATGTTCTCTATCTCGCTAGGTTTAATTTATACGGCATTAAGCTATTGTACCATATAGTAATTTTTCTTACTTTAATGAGCACCAGTAAGCCTTTTTATGATTTTAACATACATTTCGTAAATTATAAATCAAATACAACTTCAATATTATTTCATTCTCGTCATAGCATATTATTTTGCGCGATTCTCTCACCGATGGTATCATGGACCTTATCAAACTGATATCTATGTTGATCTGTAGGTTTAAGTTATCAGTATTTAATCACTTTATTTCAAGTTTTAATCATAAAAGCTAAAGTATTTAAAATTTATTGCCTCATTCTCAGCGTGATGTTTTATTTGTGGGTCATTTCTGGTAAGTTTTTATATAGATGGTTTTCCGTTATATTATAAAGATTTATGTTTATCCCTTCCTTTCGATAGGTTTCACGAACGTATACCCATTATTAAAAGGAATAAAATGGGAATGCGCAAATGAAGCATTCGGTTCAAATATAGATTTTTTAATGAGAGTAGAATGTGATGGATATCTTTTTAGTACAATATTTGGATGGTTTATGATACTAGAATTTTTTACAAGTACAATATTGTATTTAAGATTATGGAAGACAAGAAATTGGTGGGATAATAACAATACAGCCGTTGAGGATGGTGAATCTGAGAAAGGCATAAATTTGGGAACTGATGAAGTAATATTTCTTTTTTTTTCGTTCCGACGACTTTAAAAAGTTCATTCTAACATAATTTCTATTTATAGGAGACACCATCCACAGAATCCACTAAAATTTCACCTTATGAGCAACATCGTCTTGAACTTGACCTAGGTCCAAGGAATTCATCAAATATTAATCTTAAACAAATTTTTTAACAAAATAAAATTTCTATGTACTGTATATACATCGGAATAGACAATTATACATATATTTATTTATTTATTTATTATTTATTATTATCTCTCATGCATACTTATATAGATTTGTTGAACCAAGAATTATTTATAAGTTGCATAATAAAAAACGATCATGATAATTTCTCCATTTGACCATATAAAGCATTCCTATTCATAAATGATCGGATTATATACTATATATATACAAGGTCACGTCATATGACAAATTTTGTACTTAATTAAAGCCTAATGCAGTTAGACGTTCGTTGCACACTACACAGTTATTATAAAGGGGCTAAGGGTCTATGAAAAAGATTCTCGCGATTTACGTGTTTTTTTTAATAAAAAAAAAAAAATAAAAAAAATAATTTATTAATTTAATTCCAAAATTTAGTTTTATGTATTTTTATTGAAATGTTAAAAAAATTAGTTTTAAGTCCTAAATGTAATTTTGTATTTAGAGTTCTCCAAATTGCTGTCATAGGAGTAATTATGATTTTGGGTAAGTGGTTATTTTTTTCAAAATTTTGATTCTAATTCTATTATTTAATAAATATTTTGAAATTTTTAGAAATCGTGCAATTTATATACTATAATGCATTCTTTGTGAATCGATTAAGATGGTCATCATCTCATTATTTTAGCACTGAATTGTAAGTTGAAAATTATCATTTTTTTCCTGTAATTTTAAAAATTACTTTATTAATATGATTTTGTTTAAAGAAAAGATGTTTATGGTTTAAAAAGTTATTACACATTTGTTATACTTTTTACTTGGATTGATACCGGTAAGTTCCTTTTTGGTTTAAATTCTTGAATTGTATCTATATTCTAATAATTTCTTTTGCAAGATAGCTCTATATATCGGATTATTTCATAAATTTCGCGCAAAATCGGATAGTAACATATTAAATATTATTAGCGATATGTACGTATAATATTCATTATTGAATTTCTACCATCTTGTGGAGCAATTATTTATCATGTTTTATTTTTTTTATTTAGTTTCTTTACTGCTATGTGGCTATCAGTTGGTAAGTATTTTTAAAAATTGATGGTGGGAATCTTAATTGATTTTTAACATAATGATGGACCAATTTTTTTTTTCAGGTTTAACAAATATTATTCCATATTACAAATCCACTGATGGTTTGAGTTGTCCAAATTATAAATTTTATTCAACAGAAGGGTATTCAGAATTCGGAAGTTTATGTCAAGCATATTTTGGTAGTATGATTTCAAGTTGGATAATGTTCTTTTTATTTAGTATTTCTACTTTGTTTTCATGTAGAGCATATTATGTAACTTCCAAAGAATTAGATGTCTAAAAGGATCGCATATTTCCTTTAAAAAAAAAAATGCTTAATTGATATTTATTAACAATCAAAATTTACTTTTTTTTACTAAAAAAAACATTTCTTTTTTAATATTAGAAAGTTGTATTTTTAATAAACCAAAAAATTTTCTTTAATTTCACGTTCGTAATACTATATTAATTTAATCTAATTTTGGTTTTATAATAATGTTTTAGATACAAGGTGGGATTATTGCGGTAGATATTAGTAAGGAATCATCATCATCTTATATCAATACCATCATATATATATTAAATAATGTGACTGATGAGCGTTACCATTCTTACCATTTAAATGATGGTAAGTGATTGCAGATGTGGTGTTGTGTAGTATTACAAATATTGGCAAAAAAAATAACAAAAATTAAAATTATACTTTAATTTAATTTGAAATTGGATCAAGTATTCGTCAAATAGTAGATATAATAATTCACTTGAATCTTACATTATTTGGAAGCTGCATTGTTTTTTTTCTATTTTTATAATGTTAATAATAATTCAGGTCAGAATGTTCATAGGTATCAATATTAAAATTACAGATGAATTTTTGCAACTTTCATAGTTCAATTTAACGAAATTCTTTTATTTACCAACTGATCTTTTTGTGTATTCATCAAATTATTAAATTATTACTAATTACGGGTTTCATTCACCTTTACTTGATCATCATCATCACATTTTTTCCCCATAAATAATAACTGATTTTTGCGTCATGAACATAAGAACATAAGATCATCATCTTTTTTCACGAAAGTGTATGCTGTTTGGTTACACAATCTCGATATTATTTTTTTTCAATGTTCCATGAAGAAAATTTTATGAAAGTAATTATTGTTCTCGTTTTTTTTAAAAAAAATATGCTATACTGTACTTTGTTTGTTCGGATCCTGTGCCTTTAACTTAAAAGTAGTTTTATGCAGTAAGGCCGGACATAGAATAAATCTTAAAATTAACTTTTCTTTTGTTTGCAAGCATTAGAATTGTTAGTTTTAGATCTCTTTTATGTTCGAATTTCAATTTAAATGAAATATTGATAAAGGAGGAGATCAAATATCTTTTTACAAATAACTAATAATTTTATTTAAATTTTGGTTTGATTTAGATAATTTAATAAGAAGGATTAATAAATATCTAATAGTAAGTATATTTTTATTTATATTTATTTGTTTATTTATTTATTTTTTTTCTTTATATAAATATACGCTTTGTCAAGAGCTTTTTAAGTTAAAGTTATCCTTAGGAGGTGGATTATGCAAAGCAACAATAAAATAACATTTTTTATGGTATTTTATATACCACCAAAAACCCGGCAAGAATATCTTATAGTTACGATATTTTTGTGAGGATAGATGTTGACATATATTATTCATAATAAATTATTATTATTATTATTAATTTTATCAAAATATTTAACAAAGTTCTTTTCTTTTTTTTTTCTTGATTAAAAAATAGATATTAATGAATAATGGTATAGGATGATGGTTGAACTATTTCCTCTCAAAGATTTATCGTAAAATTTTTTTCTTTGAAAAAAAATTCCATTTTGGTCACAATTATTTTCTCAATTTTTTGGATATCCAAGGATATTGATGGTCATGACTTCTTTTTTTTGTTTCGGAGATGTTGATTTAATCAAGATAAGGTAGGATCGATCTTTTAATGGTAAAGGATTTTCTAATTATGAAATATGAATACTCAAAATATTTCCCATTACAGTCAGACCTCCATAATTGCACACCCCTTGGGACCATATGCATAATTTTCAAAATAGTGCATTTAAAGAGGGTGTGCATTTATAGAGGTAAAATAATTAGAGATCATATAAGCTTGGGACTGAACCAGAGGGTGCATTTAGAGAGGGTATACATAGTGGGTGCAATTATGGAGAGTGCAATTATGGAGGTCTGACTGTATATATCATTATATATTAATTTCAGATTAATAAACACTTGTATTAGTAAACTTATAAAAGAAGCTGTGGTTTGATATTACGAGTAATTGTTCATATGAGTCAAAAATGGTCTTTACAAACTTCATCAAATCGATTGGCATAGATCTAGTGACGGTATCGGGTTTCTTAGTGAGAATGAATTTAGACAGAGAAATTGCCGGTTTTGGTGCTGATGGTTATTTGAAACTTGATAGATGAGTAGTCACACACTAAGGGTCCTTTCTAGTTGAGGAACATTGATGATCTATGGATCTATGTTATAATACAGGAATGAATATTTGTGCGGCTTAACATTTGGTGGATTATGAAGGTTAATGAAAGGTCTATATGGGACATTTCAGTTCATCTAATTTTAAATTACGTTTAAATACAACCCTTAATTTTGTTACTTAACGAGGTCTATTTATTTGAAATTATGGTGAAATCCTTGCCGTAGGGTACAATTAATGATATTATGATAATATAGGAGGAAAATATTATTCATCTAGAGCATTAATAGGATATCCTTAAATCTACGGCTGGTTTAAGAGCAGAGTGTAGAAGTTAGGGGTTTAATATTGTAAAGGCGCTTGAATTTTCTTTTTAATTTAAGAATAATTTTAATGATTTTATCGTAGTAATAAGTATACTGATAATGACCGAGAAAGGTGATAATTGCTTTAACTTGTTTCAGCAATTTGTGTGACTGCTACAGGAACTAGGAACTTGGATAATAATATTAGGGTTATATTATGATCTAGTATCATAGATTTAATTAATTGGATTCAAGTTATTTTTTTAGATCAGGCATTTGAAAGTTTTTTTTTAGAAAGTTCTACTACTCCTTACAGCACTTCAAATACTAAAAATGCAATGTTTGTTCAGCAATTTGTGTGACTGCTGCAGCCTGCAGGTACTTGAATAATAATATTAGGGTTATATTAATTATGATCTAGTATCATAGATTTAATTGATTGGAATCAAGTTATTTTTTTTAGATCAGGCATTTGAAAGTTTTTTTTAGAAAGTTCTACTACTCCTCACAGCACTTCAAATACTAAAAATGCGATGTGTTTGTTAGCTAAAATCACGTAATAAGTAATAATAATTAAAGTAGTAATAAATTTCTTTTGAATATTTCCTTTTGTTGAACTAAAGAATGTATTATTACGTGCAATGATAATACTGATGTATTTCTGATTATATTAAACAATAAAATTAAAAGCTATTTAAGATTAAAAAATGTTAACTTCGTGAATAAGTTCAATGCACCACTAATAATAATAATAATAAAAAAAGTTAATACAGTATATAAAAAACTTTATAAAATAAGAATTTACTTACTTCATCATTTCCTCCCAATCTTTCATTATGACAAACAACTTCTTGAAAGAGATCATTTCCGATAGTAAATTGAACATCATGACTACGTAAAAATTCAACTTGACCATTTTTTCGACCATTCTCATCATACATTCTTTTAATATTAATATTAATAATATCATCTGATTTTAAATACCCTCGATAATTTTCTAATTTATTATAATTGAACTTCCAAGTTGTTTCTTCTCCACCACAAATTACTAATAAAACAACATTTAATTAATATTAACTTTCTATTATAAAAGATAAACAAAATTATATTTTAATTTATTACCTTCTGTATGTTTAGTTGATGGAGATTTGTAATAACAATAGATACCACGACCTTTAGTATTATCATACTGATAACCTTGATAACGAATTCCAAGAAAATTTCTAGATTTAATATGTTGTAACCTTATAAAAGTATCAGCATAAGTAGCTAATTCTGTATCAAATTGAATTTTCCATAAAGAATTTGGATCAGGTTCTACACCTCCCGCAAAAACCTAAGCAAAAAAAATATATAAATAAATATAGTGAATATAATATTAGATATGATTTAAAAATTGATAATACAAAAAAAAATATATATATATGTATATATATATACCAATTGTTTCCCACTTCCAGTTGTATAACATAAATTTGAAATTGAACTTAAATATTTTCCTGTAGAAGTATGTTTTAATGCCACAATAGATTCATTCCTAATTAATTTTGATTCTTCTAAAACTATATTTTCAAATTCTTTAATTAATTCATTAATTGAATTTACATTTTTCATTTTATTATAAAATTCATTTGAAATATAATCAAAATGATTATTAGGTAATGATTTATAAAGATATTTTTTTTGTTCTTTTATATCATTAATTTCAGCATTATAACATAATTTACGAAAAGTTGAAATAAATTTTGAAGTATCACCACCTTTTCTTTCAGGATAATATTTTAATGATTGTAATTTTCTTTTATTAGTATTCTTAAAAACTTCAAAAGAAATATCATCTTTAAGTTCGTTACGAAGTTTTTCAATATCATTAATTTCGGTTGATGAGAGTTTGATAGTAGGATCTATTAATGATATAACAGTTTTTAAAAATCCTCCATAATTATTTTCCCAAAGAGAATTATATTTTTTAATATCGTTTATCCATTCATCTGGGTGAACATTTCCATCATATTTTGAAATATCCATTTCTTTTTTTAATTAAATGTTCAAGTTTGGAAATTTAAACCTTTTAAAATGAGTACCAATTTTGTAAATATGGTAAACTTTAATGCACGTTCATGTGATAATCTGTACCATTACGCATCCATTACATTTCGCCTTTTCGAAAAAATTACCTTCTTGACCCGTGTAACCTTATCATCACCCCTCTGCATAATATAAATAAATATTTTATAGCAAGGGGGTCAGTAGGGTGCGATGATTTATGCAGTGTTGATTGGGTGAGGCAAGTCAAGAAGGTAATTTTTGCCGCCTTTTTACGCTTTTCACGTCGATGTCGACATTTGCAAGATGATTAAAATATTTTAAGATTTAATAAACGTCACATTTAAGGATAATGATTAAAAGATGCATAATATTAACTGTCTGTATATTAGCTAGTCAAAAACTCGATACACAAAATTTTGTTTTAAATATACAACTTATTTTTTAACAAAAGATAAAATAAAATAATATAATATTATTAATATTACATCATTTTCTCCTAATCTTTCATAATGAACGAATAAACTTTTATTTCTCATAGTAAATTTAAACTTAACTTCATAATTACGTAAAAATTCAAATTGATATATTTCGAGTATTAATAAATATCACCCATTATCATACAATTTCTTAATGCTGAGATAAATAGTATCATTTGATTTACTGTAAATATTCCTGAATAATTTACTTCCTTTTACTTAATATTTTTTTGGTTCCGTTAGCAGCTGATCAAACGTTTTCAAATTCGATTTGATTGGATTTAGATCCAATCCATGTTCACAAATAAGGGGATTTTGGAAATTTAATGGAATGATGGAATGATAGAATGGTTAAATCCAGGTTGATCGACTCATATGGATCTAGCGTCAATTGAATTTGTAAACGCACCTATGGAGATTTGTAGTAATGTATAATTATAGTCAATCGCTTAATTCGACACGTTGTAATGTTATGGAAATATCACTATAATCTACTAATTATTTATAAACTTAATTCTCCATAAAGAATGTGGATCAGATGGTGGATTTTCTTGCAAAAATCAGAGATAAAATAATATGGTTGTTTAGTAAATTACAACTACAGTCTGACCTCGATATAACGAACCCACGATATAACGAACTCTTGACTTACCGAACTTTTTTTTAAAAACCGGGTTCATATTATTTAAAAAAATCTCGATATACCGAATTTCATATAAACTCGATATAACGTATACCGAACTTTATGATTTACCGTTTATAATAAAGCATATAAAAAAAATTCTTTATATACCGAACTTGATCACGTGGTTGAAATTTCACATAATTTATACTGTTAAATCTTAATTTCTAATATTCGTTAATCACGTGATAACTTTATATACCGAACTATACTTGCTGCCCATATTAAATGGGATGGGAGAATCCCCTATCCCATCCCATCCTTATCCTACAAACCCAAATTTTTAAGAGATTTACCGATCAGATTTTAATGAAATTTATATCTTTGGATTCGTCTTGATGCAAGGAATTAAATGGTAGTGAAATTGTATTTCTAAAATTAATATTGATAAAAAATGTATTTTTTATACTACTGTATATATTATTTAAAAGTAACATGTTAGCAGTTAGTATTCAGTAATATATCGATTATTTTATTTGAATTAATAATTTTGATGATATTTGATATTGTTTTTTTAGATTAACAATTAATTAATTCCTGGTTTGTAAATATTATTTTATTAAATATTTATGCAATAATAATAATATCTATCAAATTATATATTAGAAATAAATAATCAAACTTTTTTTGATGAATTAATAGATAGGTTTAAGTTAATTCAAAGTTAAATTGTAATAAAAAATATAAAATAATAAATTGAATAAATATATTTTAAAAACTTTTTATATTAAAAGTAACCAATTATTGCTTGCTTTATACATGTTATTTAATAATATATATTATAAAATACATTTTTTATAATAACTTAGTCAATATTAATGTTGGGAATATAATTTCACTGCCATTAAATTCCTTGCATCAAGACAAATCCAATGATATAAATTTCATTACATCAGGAAATTTGTTTAGGCGTAATTTAGTGTAATATTTCGAAGGTGATGTAAAATTTCGAAATATTACACTAAAAACGTAATATTACAAAAGTTTACGCTCTTAAATTTGAATAATTATAGTAATTTAAGAATATCTCGCTATCTACTGATACAATCAAGACGATCTATAGCTCATTGGAATCAGCTCATCAAGACGGATCGAATGGTAGTAAAATCGCATTTCTACAGTTGATAGAACGCTCTATAGTATGCAGTAAAGTTTTAAATTAATAGAAAATCATCTATCGAACGTAAAGATACGATTTTACTACCATTCGATTCGTCTTGATGAGCTGATTCCAATGAGCTATAGATCGTCTTGATTGGATCAGTAGATAGCGAGATATTCTTAAATTACTATAATTATTCAAATTTAAGAGCGTAAACTTTTGTAATATTACGTTTTTAGTGTAATATTTCGAAATTTTACATCACCTTCGAAATATTACACTAAATTACGCCTAAACAAATTTCCTGATGTAAAATCTGATCGGTAAATCTCTTAAAAATTGGGGTATGTAGGATAAGGATTTAAACTAAATTCTGAGAAAACTAAAATATTACGGCCGGAATTATGTAATCAGCATAGAAATTTCCTTTTTTGGAATACTTGTAAAACCAAATCCTCCATTTTTTGTAACAAAATTTCCTTTTTTGGAAGTTTGTGTAATGTCACGTAATAAGTGGCCAATGGAGAAATATTACACAAGTATTTGGGATTTGAGATGGGATGGGATATGGGAGGGGAGGGGATGGGAGGGGATTTTAAATGGATGGCAAGTATATACTGAACTGCTACTGTAAAACTTATGGAGTTCGGTAAACAAAAAAAATTTACATACCGAATTTCTACTATATAATGAACTTTTGCCCTTGAACCGCGAGTTCATTATATTAAAGTTTGACTGTATATACAAAAATCATATCAAATCGATGCTTGATTTGACTTGCAGAAATGAAACATTTTTCTTTAACAAACATGTTTTAAAGTTACATTTTAATTAATTATATTTGATTCTTCTAAAATATAAAATTGATTATATAGTAAAAGAAGTATACTGTTAGGGCATCATGCCTAAGTGTTTATGTTAATCACTATGACTTTTGGTTATTATAAGGGCCATAATGGGATTTTTTCTCGGCATTTTTTTATTCGGTCATTTAACTCTTGTATACTAACAGTACATTTATTACAGGATTACTAAAGATCAAATAATTTAGTAATGTGACTATAGCAATCACAGATAGATAATAATGTATTGCAAGCTTTTCTCATTTATTCCTTAATGCATTACTATATATTACTAATAGAATTTGTTTACATTTTGTATTACATGAATTTTTTTCAAATACATTTATTCTTGATCTATTTTATTTTTGTGAACTTGAGTGCAAGTTAGTCAAATCCATCATGAGATTAATTGTACCAAACAATACAAAATTTGTTGCTGTACCTTGTACAAATCTATGTTGAAATTATTTGGTATTCCCTGAGACACACCTTCAGGAAAACCATTGAAAAGTAAATTTGAAGGTATATTTATTTAGTAGTTCAGCATCCCAACAGCCATACAAGCAGGATCGTTAGGCTGTAAAAAGCCAATAATTCTATCATTTCGTATTCCAGTATTATTAATGATAGTTACTGCATCTTGATGGAGAGAGGCACAGTCTCAAACGAAATTATGAGGTTTGGTGTTGTATTTTGTACTGCTACTGTGGCTGGTGGGTTTGATGCATTTAGTGTCAGATTTGAGTTTTAGTTATTATGTAGATAAAGCATCGAGACCATCGCAGCGTACCATTTACTTGACATGTGAAACATTTTAATCAAAAATAAACTTGAATAAGATTATTTTGTACAGATGCGAAAAAAATTCTCTGCCATATTATCCAAACTTCTGAGAGATCCCGTTTTCCCTATTTCTATAACTATTCTCAGTCGCGATACATATCCAGTTCCAGATGACAAAACATGCCTTAGTTCAACTGCAATATTCACTATTGTTGGTAACAGTCATGTCTAGTTTACTATAAACAGCAATTACTTATCATAATAGTCAAGTTGATTTGAAATGTGGCAATCACACGTCAAATGACCAAAAACAGGCAAAAAAAATGGCACGAATTGCATAAACTATTCGCAAATTTGTATAAACTATTTAAAATAGTATAGGTTAATTCGCAAATAGCCAAAAATAGCCAAAAATAGCTAAGAATAGCCAAGAATAGCCAAGAATAGCCACTGCTTTTCGTGCCATTTTTTTTGCCAATTTTTAACATTTCGACCTGTGAATAAGTCCTAATTCATATTTGTACAACAATTGGACGGCTAATAAATTCATATATCAGAATTTTTAATTTTTAATGCTCAAAAATTTTAAAAAAATGTGAAACTTAACATTATTTGCCATCCAGTGGTCATACAGACAAATTTATATTTATTGGATTTATCACACTGAGACACGTCGAATTACGCTAAGATCATGTCTATAGGATTGATAGATAGCTTGATAATTCCAATTATTAATAAATCATTTAGAGCAGATTAACGTGTGATCTATCAATGCTAGAGACATGATCTTACCACCATTTAACGCGTCTCGTTGAGACGAATCTAATGATATATAGCTCGACTTTGTATGATCACTAGATGAACGGCTATTCGATTTTTCGCATTTTTATAAAAAATCAGATTAAACTGAATTGAACCGCCAGTTTTTCAGTTCTAATACTCGAATCAAACTGAACTGAATTTTGAGCCAGTTTTGGATCAGTTTCCCGGTTTAGCCCGAACCGTTAGGAGCTTTACTTATAGGGCTAAAAAACATCTTATGTTATTTGGGAAAAATGGGATTGGACTAGATAAAATTAAGCTAGTCTTATATAGCGCAACTGAGATTTTAAAACTGACTAATGCACAAATCCAAAATGTCATAGATTAAGTAAAAAATATACTAGTGATCATCAGAGCCATATGACTAAGGTTGCTTGCCAAAACCTAGGGGTTTAGGCAAGATGGCGTTTTGCTGAAAAGCAAAATTCTGCCAAAACTATATTAAAGTTATATTAAAAAACTGGTGAAACTTTGGAGAAAAGCGAAACTGCTGAAACTTATTATAAATGCTGAAACTACCGAAACTCTGCCGAAACTATAATAAATCTATAGTAAAATTTTGACAAAACTAATCGTAGGATTTTGAAGAGGTTTAGACAAGCAATTTTACATATGACTTTAATAAAACCGTTCCCTCAGGGAACGATCAGATTAAGGTTGAGGTAAGTACATCAGCAAATGTATTATCTGTATCTTCCTCCAGTCAATCTAAGTCAACTTATGACCGATCCTATTTTTGCAACAAGACATTGGATCAATATCCTAATTTATATAGAGAATTTAGTAGTGAAAATTTCAATTATTATGGAATTACTGATAAGACATCATGCCCATTATGCAAGTTAGGCCATGATGATAATGAAAGCATAGAAGGTAGATATAAAGCTGGATCCTATTTTATTAAATGTGAACAGCGCGAAATTGAGATAATTGCATAGTCTCATTGCTTTACAATAGTCTGGATTAAAGCTCTGAACAGGTCAGCCAAATTCAAATAACCTGACCTGACCTGACCTGAAATTCAGGTCAAGTATGAGATTTTTGAAAAAAATTCAGGTCAGATATGAAGATTGATCTGACCTGATTGACCTGTTGACCTGAAACTATTGATTCTACTATATAATAAAAGTGAGTTGCAGTATTGAGATTCACTTTTTTATATTGAATATATATAAAAAAAGTGAGTTGCAGTATTGCGATTCACTTTTTTATATAGATTCTATATAAAAAAAGTGAGTTGTGGTTAGAGCTCCGCACGGGTCAGGTCGGGTCGGGTTACCTGGTTAACCCAAACCGAAAATTTTTTTTCAGGTCAGGTCGGGTCGGGTAAACCGTTCTGACCCGACCTGACCCATTTGACCCGAAAGTATTCATGTCACTTCGGGTAACTCAGGTTACCCGAAGTTTTATTATTAAATATTTCAATTAAAAAAACGTTATGTAACGTTTTTTTTTATTAATTATACAAAAAACGTCAGGTTCGACGTTTTTAATTAAAAAAAAAGATTTTTTTTAATTTTTATTGAAAAAACGTCGGGTCCCGGCATTTTACTTTTGTTTTTATATATAAAAACGCCGAAACTATTTGTTTCAGCATTTTTGTTTCGATCTTAGATGTAAAAATGCCGGAATCATTAGTTCCGGCGTTTTTCATTTTGATTTTACATGTAAAAACGCCGGAATCATTAGTTCCGGCGTTTTTCATATTGATTTTACATGTAAAAACGCCGAAACTGATAGTTCCGGC